TATCTCTCTCAGTGTGCACCCCTTGTGGAAGTGGCGAGATATAAGGGCTGTTTTTGGTTTGGGTTTTAGAATAAACTTAGGTCATTAGATATGAATGAATTAGATGAATGTAGTGTACGCCCCTGTAGAGCCTGTGTAGAGCCGCGGCCCTTGCCGCCCGTTTGTTTAATGTTCTTTTTGGTAAGCCCCTATTCAAGACATCAACGAGCCAAAAAAGAGACCCGTGGACTACCCCTTACTTTCGGGTATGAAACCCTGTTCTCGTACTAGCTTTTAAAACATCAATTTGTATGCTTTCGGCACAATCGTAATGTTTATTGGTTGCTATTTTGGAGAATGTAGTTTTTTAGCCTCTATTGCGACGCACCACCACGATGGTCTTGATGCACCTCTTGGGGTTCTTGCACTTCACCTGCTGGCGGGTGTTGCACCAGTTGTTGCCCCTCCAGCACCACTTGCCGCCACTCTTCTTGGTCGTGGCGCTGGTCACGGGTGCCGCTGTCGTCGTGGTCGTAGCTGTGGAGGCAGCCGTCGTTGTAGCTGGGGCCACTGTCGTTGTTGCAGCCCCAGTCTGAGCGACTGTCAACTGGATGGCCAGGGCAATGAGAGCGGCTACGACAAGGAACTTCATCTTGGATTCGTCTGGATTCCTGCTGTACTTCTGTGAAATGTCTGGATATTCGTGGAGCTCTTATCGAACTGATGGAACCAAGTGTTGTGATTAATTGTCGTGAGACGCTGCGTTTTTAAGCAGATTTTTGGATTGATTTCGATTGTTTATGTAACTGATTTGGTTCCGTATAAATACTTCCCTTTTGGAGCATTTATTTGCAGAGCTTTGATTAGATCTTGATCTTGATCTTGTCTGTCACAGTTACGGTAAACAGACAAAAATGTAAGCCAATAGAACGGTGGAACGGTTGAACGGCTTCGGCAAATATTTGTACAGTTTGTACATTTGTTCTAAAGTTCTAAATATTCAGTCAGTGGAGACAGATATGAACCCAAGACAAAAGGTGCGCCCTATAAGTAGTGGCCGAAAAATGTATCAAATACTTGTTACTCATATATTCCGCCAGTTACCTCCGTTTCCCTGTCGATGAACCCAGCTGTTTGGTAGTTAATCTGGTTACAGTTTTGCTCAAATTATCCAATTGTTCAAAGAGTAATATCAAAGGCAAATATTTGGGTATTTGCTCAGTATTGATACACATTCCATTTCCATGTGGAAGAACATGAGAAGTATGTATAGTACACACAATAAGAGGAAGAAACGGAAGCTGGAGCCCAATGGGGTCCCTATAAATAATCCGAGTAGCACTCTTACCAATCACAAAACTCGGTCATCTCTCCACAGTTCCAGACATTAACCACCAGCTCCAAACCTCAGCCAAGATGAAGTTCCTTGTCGTAGCCGCTCTCATTGCCCTGGCCATCCAGTTGACAGTCGCTCAGACTGGGGCTGCAACAACGACAGTGGCCCCAGCTACAACGACGGCTGCCTCCACAGCTACGACCACGACGACAGCGGCACCCGTGACCAGCGCCACGACCAAGAAGAGTGGCGGCAAATGGTGCTGGAGGGGCAACAACTGGTGCAACACCCGCCAGCAGGTGAAGTGCAAGAACCCCAAGAGGTGCATCAAGACCATCGTGGTGGTGCGTCGCTATAGGGGCTAACTTACTGGCTGTAGATCGAACCTGAAGAAGATCAACAAATAAAACATAAATATAGAAGAAAAGAATGGATTTTGAATGGAGACGATGGGTAGAAAGTGGCGAAGTTTTGGGTACTGTTTCAGATTGATCGTTGTCCGCTTTATGATATGCTGACTAGTTGCTGGAGGTATAGGAAATCAGGGGCAGTCTAACATCGTACTGAGTTTGGATTCCTTACTGGTTGGCATTACTATAAGCAGGACGAGTCTCCGTTCACCGATGAAAGGGAGGATAGAGGAAGCGAAACATGTTTTATCTGAATTTGTGGATGTGGACGATTCAAGAAAGTGGGTGAACACTACAGGGCGGAGCTGCCACAGTCCGATCTAAACAGATATGGCTTAGATTTCAAAAAGTAAAGTCCCTTCTTCCTTCTGTAAAGGGTGTCTGTCTGTTTCCCGAACTTTAAGCGAATTTTAGTGTGTAATAAAAACAAAACATACCGTGATTTTTCGGTGCATTTATGTGGAGCGTCATGTCCGTGCAATTGAAAAGTTTCCCCCTGAAAACGGAAAAACAGGGAAAAAGGAAAAGTGAACATTTTCGTTTGGTAATCGGCGAGCGTTTGCCTAATTAGCTGCCGCTGCCGCTGCCGCTGCCACTGCCACAGCCGGGTGCCACCGCCTGTCTGGCGTGCCAGAGAGACGCTGCCCCTCTCCGTTTCCGTGTCAAACGGAATGCCGCTCGTTAAGTCATTAAAATTGCATGAAGTGAAAACTTTATGGTCTGCAAAGTTTGCCTCAAAGCAGAACTAACCCAGAACCCAAAAACCGAAAAGAATGAGACGCAAGTCCAGAGAAGAAACCAACATCAAAGCTGGCAAATGGTAATTCGTTTAAAAAGAAATCCAAGGACAAGCGGGACATAGAAGCATTTCATTTGCAGACAATAAACAGGCAGAAGCAGCGGCAGTGGCAGGAGGAGCAGGAGCTGGAGCAGAAGCTGGAGCAGCGGGAGCAACAACTGGAGGGCAAAGTAAATAAATTAAATTTTGAACAACTCTTTGCATACAAAATAGAGGAAGGAAAGGAGGAATGGCCCGCCAAAAAAGATTCAAAAGCTTTCTCAGATTTCAAACACATGCCAGGGCAGGCCACGGCCACGGCCAGGGCCCAGAGGGGGAGCTCTCTGCAATGGATACCAGAGACAGCGTCGAGTATTCGATATGCACGTGCCTGGAACACTCCACTCCACTCCACTCCACAGACTTCTGACACTGTAACAATTCGTAGCGATTTTCCACTTATTTGCTGGAAAAACCAGCAAAAAAGAGAGCAGAAAGCCAAGTGAAAAGCCAAAACGAAAACCTCAAAATGGTAGGCCGATGGCCTATGGCTGAGGATGAGTCAGCAAGAAGCTGCCATTACCCGGAACCCGAACCCGAGCCCGAACCCGGACTCGAACCCAGTCAAAATCACAGAAAATCATCGACAACTGGCAAATGTGTGAATTGAATTTTCAAACAATTTTCTCCCGTGCAGGCGAGAGAGAGAGAGAGTGCAGCTGCTGTCCTCGGCATCCGCATCAGCCTTCAGCCCTGGGTTCCTGGCTTCCTGGGTTTCCTGGGTTTCTGTTGCTGGCGCTTTTCAATTCCCTCCTTCTATTCTTTGAACAGGAACGTGCATGATTTGAGATTTGATTTGGGCGTCGGTGACGTCCTCCTCGGCGGCGGCTACATTACACTCGCCGAATCCTCGCCCGTAAGCCGTAAACCGTAAACCTCGTTGGCCTGTTTGTTTGAAGCGGTTTTTAAACATTTTGCTCACGTTCCGGATGTTTATGCCATTAGCGTTTAAGTTTACCCACACAGAATGCGTCTCGTAAATAAAGCAAATGCTGCTTTGTTTCTTTCGAAGCAGTCCCCCCCCGCACCACACTGTTTTCGATGGTTTGTTCCTGGATTCCGCCTGTAATTGCCATTGGTAATCGATGCTGCGGCTAGTTATTGAAAATTAAGAGGGGCGGGCGACACGGAAAGCATTAAATTAAACCGAATTACGGGCCAAAGAGAGCAGCTTGAGTGAAATTAATTCCATTTTCAATGGGTTTGCTGATTTAATGATTTTTAATGATTTAAAGGTCCTGCGCTTAAAGAAGAGTCTGCAGAGATGGAGAAAACTATACAATTGTTAAGAGACTAGCAGCGAAGGGTCACAGGATTTTGAATCGTTACTTTAAATGACATGCTTCCAATATACTTCCAAATACAAAAGCTATAGTGATTATATAGTAATGATAGCAGCTCCAAGGAACAGAAAGAAGCAGCCTTGTCCCTGACCAACATCATCGTGGACACATCTGATTCGTTGGATGGATGGTCACCCGTCCTACAAGTGAGTTCCATAGTTTCCTTCTTGTGCATCTTCCTCCTTAACTATTCTGGCAACTCCTCCTGACAGCAGCGTCTCCACGCTGGGCCTGCTCTTCCACCAGTTGGAGAGATTCATCCAGGTCTTCAGACGCGAGGACCGCCCTGTTGCTCCTCCTGGCAGCTCGCATTTGAAGGCCTTTCCATTTTCCCTACTACCTCTTCAAGGCAATGCCATTAATGTGGGTTAGGCTGTTATCAGAATGGTAGTCGTCTTTCTGCAAAAGGATCTGGTAGGTTAAATCTGTCCAAAATAAGAAAAATATACTTTAAATGGTGTCCTACTCTTGCAGATGTCCGCTTGAAGATACGAGTACACAGGTTGTATGTAGGTTCCAGTGATGGCGAGGATTGCCAGATTTTTCCAACGAAAAAAATTCCCAAAGTCGATCCATCGATAGTCCACAGTAGCCAAGGATTCATGTCTGTCTATGGCCTTCATTTGTCCCCCGTATGACTACTGGGTCTCTACTGGGAGACAAATGCTGCGCCGTTGAACAAACGTTCCACTAATGCCAACACAACACTGCAATGCCTGACCCTCGATGATAGAGGGGCATCCTGGAAACGCTTGAGAAATGAATGCCTTCATACGATTGACTTCTAGGGGGTGTGCTGGGTTGTGGTGTCATTGGAGATGAGGAGAGCTTGATTAGCTGCACATCGGTTGGCTCATAATGGTCCTTCCGTAGGTCCGTAGGTGCGTCTCAGCTCTCTGTCATTGATGCCTGCAGAGGCGCCTTTGCCACAGGAATGTATGCCAATTTCCAATTCCTAGAGAGGATCTCATTTGGGAAACTGTTGCCGTTTCACCTTCGTCTTTGAAGAATCGGTTTCTGGAAAGAGTACCACAACATTCAGGGTGAGTGCTTTAATAAACGTTTATAAAATAAATGCCTAAAAATATGCAAAGAAAATGAAAAGAAAATCCAACTATTCAGAAAAGTTTAACATAAGATTTGTGGGGGTACATTTGGGAATTTGTCAGTAGAACTCGCAACAGTTGCAACAGCAATACGGACAGCAATAGCTGCAGCAATTCCGAAGGTCTTCGTCCTGCTCTGGGCTCTGGGGCTCTGGGTTGACGCACCGATTGCTGAACGCCTGGCACTGCTGTTGCAACTTCTGCTGCGCCGCCCGATGCAGTCGCTCGATGCGCTCCTTGTAGGTCTTCTTGGGCACCACAATGTTGCAGTTGCACTCGATGTGGTAGAACTGTGTGCCACTGGCCTGCATGTACATGCTGTACGGTACTTCCAGGTCCATCTGTGGAGCGGGGCCCTCCTCCAGCTCGTCCTCCTGCTCGCTCAGGCACTCGAAGCTGGCGCTGACTGTCCTCCACTTTTTGATTCTCTTCGGGGGCGTGGCTTTCTTCTTCCTGCCCTTCTTGGCGGGGACTTTCGGGCGGGCGGTGGAGTCCGTGATGGCTGCCTGGATCTCCCGCTCGTACGCATCCCGGCCGCGGGCGGAGCCCTTCTTGAGGGTCGTGACCAGTTCGTACCGATGATTGATTTCGCTGATCGTGCGCAGGGTCTGGTCGAAGGATACCTCCACCTGTTCGACCGCATGCAGCGTGTCCAAAAGTAAATTGTTTTTCATCATTTTCGAACTGGAAATTTATGTGTGAGAGATCATATGAAACAATATATTTATATTCTCTGTGCACTGAATTTTATCTACTGCCTGAAGGGAAATCCAAAACCCAGCCATTCGCTTAGTTAGAGTGGATTTGTCACTGGGGAATTCCGATATGAATCGTTCTCGTACTCGAATATCGTTATCGGGGCATAAAACTGATAAACCACTTCTGGGGTGGTGCGTGTTTGGCTTTTTCCTATAAAAAGGGCGGAGAATAAACATTTACTTCAGTTCACAAACGAATTTACTTTTGCCACGATGTCGCCACCACCACCACAGCCCCACCATCCGCCTCACCACGGACCCCCGCACCAGACCCCAGTGCATCCGATCCACTATGAGCCGCCGCATCACCCGTCGCCACCGCCCCATGGGCCCAGCCACGGTGCCCGCTAAGACCTGGCCTTAAGCAAGGGCTACCACTAATTTTGTTTTGTTCAAGAAATTCACCCGACTTCAACCGTAAACAACCTGTCAATGTGCTATCTACTAATGTTTATAAGCGAAAATCCCAATACCAAACGAATGCGATAGCCTATCAGACCCCAAACGATGATTGAATGATTTGTTAGTGCTGGAAAAACGAAATAAACAACAATATTTATCGAACAAAAACTTAACCACGTAGTGTTTGCAATTTATACTAAAGAAATTACAATTTTGGTGTAGATTATGGACTTTAGTTCTCTCAGAGCTTCCACTCGAGCTCCACAAGTGCCTGAAGGTATAGATTATTTATTTTTATTAACAAACAATTATCTACGTAATATGGATTAAAATATACGCAATAAAGAGCAATATTGTAGAGGAAAAAAAGAAAACAATTTGCACGATCAAAAATATTGGTAAATATTACAAGCAATAATTTGAGGGGACATTTAAGGAAAATATTTAAATATGTAAACGGAATATTAGACTGAGTTTAAATTGCAGTATTGACGGGCTTTACTTCTCGATTGATTTAAAAATACTTCTGCATATGTGATTTTTTTAAGGAAAATATAATATTTGTTATTCGGAATTCGTTCTACTGCGAACAGAGGATATTGACTCTAAAAGGATCTACAAAGTTTAAGTCTTTGGTTAATTGTATTTTGGATGGGAAATAGTATTTCGCTTATCACTATTTCAGTTCCGATTTATAGGTATTTCCAATGAAAATGTGGAGGTATTTTCGTTCCCTTATCCTCTGTTAGGATCAATTTGATTAGAAAATATTGCAAAAAGCAGGTGTAATTTGTTGACTTCTGAAGAAATTGCACAATTTCAAAAAATTTGTTTTAAGCATCCATATAAAGAGCTTTATTCAAAATTGGGATAATTCTTGGCAGTGTCGTATTAAGCAATAAATTAACCAGTTTCCAGATTTATCGTTTAATTTTCGATTTGTCCAAAAGAATCTAATATTCTCATTTTATCTATCTAGAGCCATCAATCTATATCCATATATCTGCCTATCTATATATTTATCTTGCTGTCCATCTGTCAAACGACACTATTTTTTGCTCCAACAATCCCATTTTAATTATAATAGTTTATCTACTTCAAAGGTAAAAACGAAAATCCACTTGTTTCATGTTGTTTTAAATTTGGTAAGATATATATTTTGTTTTAATTATAAAATCTTTGCACCACAAACAAGTATGTATGTAAATATTGAACGTTTAATGGAAAGACAATTCATTTGGAAAACATGGGTTGCACTTTTGTGTTAAATTCATTCACTTTTCTGTTAAGTTTTTAGTTTTTTTGTGTTTTATTAACTAAAGGTTCCGGGTTAATCCTAACGAGGATGCATGGGAGGTCCATGATGGTGGGCGGGACAATGGTGCGGAGGTCCGTGATGCGGTCCGTGGCAGTGGCAGGGTGGCCCATGGTGCGGCGGCCCGTGGTGCGGGGGCCCGTGATGCGGGGGCCCACAGTGAGGGGGCCCGTGGTGAGGGGTCCCGTGGTGGGGTGGTCCGTGGTGGTGATCGTGGTGTGGAGGAGGCGACATCTTGACTTGGCTAACCGCAACTTCGTACTGAACTGTTCCAGCCTTGACTTACCCTTTATATGATTCAAAATACTATTTCGAGTGCATCACTGGACTTATCAGCTGCCCAGATAAGAACTGGGAGTCCATAAGCCCCCTATTCGTGTTCGGAATTCCCGAATAGACCCCTATAAAGATAGTGGACTAGCCCATACCCAGAAAAAGGTTATTGATGTGCTCATTGTTTGAGTTGCGGATTGTTGACGTTTCTTTGCCTTTTCGTAAAAGTTTTCACACTGAATAAATTGGGTAAAATTGCCTTAAACGTCTTTGAATTTCATTAACGCATTTCCACCCAAGAATTTCCTGGACTATCCCTAACAATCAATCAATTCCTTTGGCTCTCTATCGCCCTAGACACAAATGTCATGCATTCTTAAGGCCAGAAATGGAGGTGATTGATTTGCTATTTATAATACATAAATTTCATATAGATCAACAAATATTTCATTTGTTTGGGGAAGTATAAAACCCGCAGATAGTATATGTTGTAAACAGTATCTATAAGTTTTTGCTTGATAATGTTTCCTATCTTATCGGTTTCTAGTAATACGCATTAGAACCCAGATAGGTCGTATGTTATTAGTCAGAGTTATAATGATTGGAGTGATGATGATTGGTCGGTGCCTTGGGACTCCCACAGCTGATCCAAGGGGGATGTACCATAAAACTCTACAAAAGTGAAGTGTAGGATCCTATTCCTTGGGCAATTTAAAGCCCTAATCATCCATCTGTCTTGAAACGCACTGTACCCCTTCCTCTTCAGCCCGCAATCACTCAACCGTTTAATAATTGACTGCATCTGTATTGGATTCCAGATCGATCCAAGGGGAAGGGGGTGAGGCGGGGGGGCAAACAGCAAATAAAATTTATAACAAATCTAACAGACATACATCATTTTGATATGGCCCGGACACGTTCCGTCTCGTCCGTATATTTGCTTAAGAAGGATGCTCCAACGGGCATTGGGGGTGGGGGTGGGGGTGGGGATGCTGCACACACACACACACATGGCCCTGGACACGGTCCGGATCTGCTGGGGGCAACTTTAGCCGGGACAGACACATTAATTTTACTGCTCGCTTCTCTAACCGCATGCAATTTTTCTTGGCTGGCTCTTCCTCTCGGCTATCGGCTTTCAATGGCAGGAAGCAGGGTGAAGGGTGAAGGGCGAAGGGTGAAGGGTGCATTGTGCAGGGGGGGATGGATCCTTCAGTCAGTTAGTCAGTTAGTCAGTCAGCCAGATAAGTGCGGTTTATGTGCAGCACGTAGACCAACTCAATACACTCGATAAATTGCGGCGGCTGCTGCTTAGAAACGGGGCAACTTGACCGCATTCAGAGGGGTTTCCAGGGGGGTTGGGTGGGGGGTTGAAATAAGAGACGGAAGGCCTCGAGTACCAAATTGATGTTGTGCAGTTTTTATTTCGTAGCCTCCCCCCCTCGAAGCTGCAAGTGCACTTTAGCCCTCGAAGGGGATTTCGTGGGTGGATCAGCCCCCAAAAAGACTCAATTTCGATGGCCAGTAGCGGCACTTGATTAAAGGCAAAGGCCAGCAGCATTCCAGCCAGCCTTTTGGGCCAACAAAACCAAATTCCATTGCAAATTTACTCGTATCAAAAGCTCATTAAAGATCAAATGATGAGCCCCAAACGGCCGCCCCGCATAGCAACAACATTCCATGGAGAACGAGCAGAATGTGGGGGGCGAAACAAGAAAACTCTGAACGGAAAATATGTTATTAATTCAAATTAATATAATCCCATTTTTCTCCACTCCCATCCGCTGCCTCTGCCTGGCTGAGCGGGAAATGGAAACTACTTTCTCAACGGCGCGCTGTCAGGTCGCGCATTACGGAAAGATGTTTTCCCTTTCCGCTCCGGGGTGGCAGCTCCAAAGGGGGTTGGGCGGGGTGGGGTGGTTGCTCGTATGATGTATAGACATTGTCGTATCTGGGTTGCCATGAGGCATGGGGCGGAACTGTGGCTGGGGCCGTGTTCTGGCGGTCTTGGGTGGATTTCTGGGTGCGGTTTTTGCATTTGTTCCGCGGTGACTCAGTTTTTGTTCGAGAGCTTGAAATTCTCCAGATATGTTTTATGGTTTTGCATGTTTTGGGCATTCTAAGCAAAACTGTACTAATGGCAACCCCAAATCGGGTCAAAGATCAATTAAAGGCAGAGAAATGTTGAGGAAACTCTTTTCAGGCATTGAAAATTCCCTGAAACACAGCTCCTGCTATAAGTTTGAGTATTCTCCATCGAACATCTTAATTTTTCATCAAAGAAATGCACAACTCAAATCGAATCGCAGTCATCGGTGAAGCCATTGCCCGGCAGAGTCTTTCTCTTCATTTCTAACCCACATTCACAGCTCACTCTCTGGCAAATCACAGCCAGACAACTTCATTTCAAATGCCCAGAGGGCGGAGGAAGAGGAGGAGGAGGAGGTGGAGGTGGGGGGGGAAACAATTCGCATATGCAACAGCTGCTGGCCGATGTCTGTGGAACCCACTTGGCTTGGCTCTATCCCTTAAGCCATTGTTGGCTTGTTGGTTCGATAAACTCCCTGCCAACCGTCGCCGCCACCGCCGCCAAACAAATCCCAGCTGCACTTCATCCGGATGCTCCTCCTCGTTCTCGTCGTCAGTTTGATGGCGAATGCCCAACGGTGAGCATTGAGCAGGGCGTTGAGTGCTCGGCATAAAACGGAAAAACTTGTTACGTGGCAGGGCAATGGATAAGCTGCGAGTCAACAATGCGGCTGGCGAGAATCCCTTCAAGCGGCCAATGAATGCCCTGCAGAAGCAGTGGTATCGAGTGCTTCTGGCCAGACGCGTGGGATTCGGGCAACGCCCTCCGCCGGACGAGAAGGAGATAACATAGTAAGCACCATCACTATCACCATCAGCTCCTCCGTTCCTCCGCCCGGTGGAACCTCCTCCGTTCAAATCAAATTGTGTGAAAATTGCAATTTCCTGTTGATTTAATACATTTTACAATTTCCCATTTTCACATTTTCCATTCCCACTGCGCAGCGCCGACATTTGTCGTCAGCGCTATACGGCCGCATTCCGGAGATACAACGAACGTTTCCGCCGGGAAATGGCCCAGCACGAGGAGATGCAGCGCTGCGCCATCGATGCCATGCGTGTCCACAGGTGAAAGAAACCCAAAATTGGTTCAAAACCAATCCAGCAATTAAAAGAAACCACTCTCCCAACCAGAACCTTCGCCATAACCACACTCTGGCTGCCGCTGCACTCGAAGCGGGAAATCAACTCCACGCTGGAGACCCTCGAGCAGGTACGTAGCTGAGAAATCTGAAATCAGAAATCAGAGATACTACTCGTACGAGTATCTCACAGCTACAGATTTATGTTCTCAGGTTCTCAGCGCCTCGGAAAGACGACGCCTTCAGGAGATACTCAAGCAGGGCGAGTCCCGGCGCTGGCGTCGATAGAACAGGACCTCCATCGACGTCATCATCATCTGCCATGGCTAAGTGAATTCCATTTAGCTTGGATTTCACTTTGCCTGGGCGTCTCCCTCCACAGCCCTCTCCGTCCCCACTTTATATTTCACTTTTCTGGTCTTGTTCTTGGCAGCTCCCTGTCAGTGGCTGAAGCGTTGTCGTAAATATTTAATACAAGTAAAAGTGCAAAGTTCACTTTGGATAAAACCGAAACTGTGTTGGGACTAGATCAATTTTTGGCTGGCTTTCGAGAGGGGGGTTAAATGACAGGGTTCTAATCCCTGCACTAGTCAAAGGATGCATAGAAAGTCACAAGTTTTGGAATATTTGAAAGTTTCTGAAAGCCAAGAGAATCTGAAACATCGCGTATATGGAGCTTACGATTCGTTTCTTGGTCTTGCATTGGAGTAGGAGCTAAATATTGAATATTCCGCTCATCCGAAAGTGATGATTGGCGTCAAGGGCAAGGAATATCCCCAGGGACATGATCTTAAATTCATAGTTGAGTCAAAAGCTTCAGAAAAAGGTAAAATAACTGGAACTGAGTCACCACCAGAACCATTGAATCGTTTGTCCATCGGTATGGATCAAACCTGGTCCTTAACTCTATTGGCACACTCAATTCATGCTTCCAAATGACATCGTTTGGAGCTGCGTCAAATGGTTTGTTGGATCAGCTATTATAGGGGCTTATAGCCCTTAGGCTTTTGCTGAGGACAGATCAGCATTAACATATTTTTCTGATTTATAATATGTTCCCAAGCAATCTGTTAAGCCTATTAAAAACTGCTGCCTAGGGCAAAGTTTTCTGGCATATTCCAAAGACCGAACGAATGGGAAACCAAAAGGGTTCCGTTCCCCCCATTAAACACACTTGTTGTTGTTGTTGTTGTTGCTTGGGCAAAGATGTGAAAATATTTGCTAAAGACAAAAACCAAAGTCAGCTTGAAGCCTAACCCACTCACATATCTCGATGACATTTGTTGCCAGAACTGCCAGTCTCGGCTGAGGCTCGAAATAGGCCAACCAGCAGCAAAAAGGGCTCAGCCCAATATCCTTGCCAACAGCAAACAACAAGCAACGGAAACAGCAGAAGCACTGGCCAGCACACAAAAAACACTGGAAAAACAAAGGGAAAGCCAAGGGGAAACCCCGAATCGTAGGCTCCAGATGTGGCAGCTGTTCGGCCTGGCATATTGCCGAGTAGACAACAACAAAACTATTGAACAAAGTGGCGCCTGTCGCACTTTATGACGAGCCCCACGCCCCCCGCCCCACAATCCTAATAGCAATCACAGAAATGTGTTCTAATTTAAAGCCATATAAGAAGCGAGAGCCCCAAGGAAGTAAAAACAAAGAACAAAGAAGGAAAGTTGGCGTCTGGTTGGGCTTGGATACCCTTACAAATGGATGGATTCGTGCTATGTTTGATTCCAGGGAAATATATAGATTGTTGCTATAAAACTATGGGATACAGTAGCCAGCTTTGAACTCTATACTTTCCGCATAAAAAAGGGGTTCTGCGAAGCTGAGAGGCAGATATATATGGCCCATTTACATAGCTTACTTTCCTTCTAGATACCCATTCAAAGTTCCATTCAAATTGGCAGTACCCTTTGCCAGTGTATAGCCCACACCAAAAGAAAAGACAAAAAGGAACAGCTGCCAAGAAAAAGCGGGCGGCCCAGAGAGGGGGGGGACGATTGGAAAATGTTGCCAGAATGCAGTTGGCAAAATGATTTTTATATTTTATGTCTGTTTGAGTTGTTTGTGTCGTCGTTCAAGTCGAAGTCAAAGTCGCAGTCGTCGTCGGGTCGCAACGGTTCAAGCCGGGGGTCGTGCCCGGTGGCCCCCGGTGGCCCCCGTATCAACATTAGTTCACGGTAATGTCATGAGCTCTTCTGGCCTCAGCTGCTCTGCCATTGGCTCTGTCAGCGTTTATTGATGGCATCAAAGTGTTTTTTCAATTTATTTTGTCTTTTTTGCCTTGCCTCAGAATTTATTGGCCCACACTCCGTGCGGGTCTTGGCCCACGTGCGGATGCGTGATATGATTGATGTTGCAACAATTTTGCAGCATAATTTTAGGCTGTCCATTGTTTGCGAGTGCCAGAGCGGGACGACTAGTGTGTGGCCAGACACGTAGGCGCCGTTAAGTTTAAAATTTCCGGGGAAATTCAATTGCAAAAGATTGGGTGTGGGGAATTTCCCATTAAAGGGAATTAAGTTGAAGTATTTTATTATAGAAAATTCATCAGAGAAGCAGCCAAGGGTCCCCCCAAAATAGTCACTCGTTGGACACATGTTCCGCCGCTTTTTCAGGGCTCTGCTGCCTAATTTTCTGTCTGCGGAAATAATAGCCATTCTTTAGCAATGATATTCAATCACAAAATCCCATTTTGCAGACATTAATGACCATTCGACAATTAACCCAATTGCAGAGCAATTACAACAGCAGCGGGCCACCATTTCGGGATCCAAAGACCTCGACAAACTGTGAAATTGGCAAATGTCAGAGGCCCCAAGGGAAAACCAAGGGGGAGACCCAAAAGGGGGCTACCGTTCTACACACAGTCGCAGAATGAGTTGATAATCCCAAAGGCAAATACACAGAAATATCCAGGGAGGAGAGGATGTTGGGATGGTAGGGGACTGGGAGTGGTAGTGATATGTCAGTGGAGCACACACATCTATGCAAAGCCATAAAGCAACAATAATAAACGCACATCATCATCAGCGGTAGATGCTCCTGCCACTGCCACTGCCACTGCTGCCACTGCCGCCGCTGCTGCTGTCAGCAAAAAAGTATGAAATATCATCTAAAATAGGAAATGCGTAAATGCGAAATCCTACAGAACGGAAACTCCAACTGAAAGCGATGCGCAAACGAACGATGATGATTTCCCCCCACCCCCCACCCCACTCTTTTCGCTAAACCAAAGCCCCAACCTCCCACACTGCCACTGCCACTCTCATTCTCTATGCCCCTCTGTATGAAAGTCAATTTTTCATTTAGATAACTTTGACATACGCAAACGTCATGGAAAGGAAGGAGACAAGGCACAGTGGGGCACGCGAATAGAAGGAAAAGCCATGGAAATTCTAGGTTTATAGAGGGTTTTAGAGGATTTCTTTAATACGAAGGAATTTAACTGATTTAAAACTGTACCTATATTCCTTTTCCATATCCTTCTATCGTTTTAATAGGAATTTCTAAGGAATTAATGACCTATATTTTCCTCCTTTGCCCCACTGTGCCTTGTGGGCCTTGAACTGGGAGGCATGAGGCATGCCCCATTCTCCATTTTGCATGTCCATGCGTGTTTGCCTGTGTATGTGTGTGTGTGTGCGTCTGCATATAACGATTTAGATTTCGGTTTTAACCTCTGGTTACCCCTCCCCACCCCACCCCCCCACCGTTTCTGCTGGCGCCAGTCAGTTTTATCCTGAGGGGTTTCATCGCGGAAATGCGGGCAGCGTTTTGATAAATGAATTTTACCCCACCCCCCAGCACCCCCCAGCTATTTCATCTCTTTCATTCCTTGACTTCCCCCAAGCCAACAAACACACACATGTGTGTGTGTACGTGTGTGCCTGGCTTAAATGAAATGTTAACAATTAAACAGTAACACGAAAAGACTATCACAGAAGCAAGTAGGAGGATGGGCAGTGGGTTAAAGCGCGACGAGTTCCTAATAATTGGGGTATTCCTGCAAGCAGGAAAATGTATTTTAGAGAAAGGCAGGAAATGGGAACACAAAAAGGCAGAAAAACAGTAGTGGAATGACTTTCTTTGAATTTCAAGATTGTTCTTAATTTTCTTTAACAATAATCAATCCAAAAACTAACGCTGGAACCCCCCTAATATGATTAATTCTGCCAACCTTGCTAATGCCGAGGGGGTTGTTATGATACTTGTTTGTTCTTGATTTTTGGTTGCTTTGTTGTTTCTCTTGCGTTGTTTTTGTTGGGTGGTTGTTTAGCACAAACTTAGGAAAACATAAGTGGCAAAAGGGATACACAATTGGCGGGGGGGGTTGTGGGTGTTTCATTAAGGAGGGTTGTTGCTGCTTCTTCTGATCCGTTGCGCTGAGAAGTTATTATGTATTTACAGTACTCCCCCGGAATACCGCCAGAACTAAGCAGACAGACACTGTAAGCACACTGCTGTAATCATAAAAAGTATTAAAAAGTAACAAGAAGGAGTGGCACTTCCTGCATCGCTTCTGGCTGCTGGCTTCTGGGCAGGACAGGTGGGGCCATTTGGCAGTTGATTGCCCATTTTTCGGAAGCTACTCGTACACTTGTTTACCTACTTCAGATGTGCTCCGGCGGGGGGAGGGTTCAGCGCTGTGGCATATTGTCTGAGGGTGTGTGTGTGTGTGAAAGAATCTGGCCGCGACTTAGGTACAAAATTTGCGCTTACGTTAGCGTGAAATGATGTTGGGGGTAATAAAGCGAAGTCGTTGGATCGGCTATGGTGGCAAAAAGGTGCGCTGCAGAGGGTATTGGCAAGGATGTTGAGCGGATTTAAACAGTTTCACGCAAAGAAAAGGGTCATAGATAGAAACGAAAGAAAGGAAATTACGATTATTTCAATGATTACACTTTGTGCGTGTGAGCATGTCGCGATGGCGAATCTCAATCACAAGAGGCACTGCAGCCGCTTCGTTTCTTTGCCTTAAAATCGATTACGAGCCCAATATTGAATAATCCGCTCATCCGAAAGTGCTGATTGGCGCTGTGGACCTCAAATTAAGACACCACCAGAACCATTAAAAGGCTTGTTCCTCGGCACGAATCCAGAATCAAGCCTGTTCCTTAACATTCAATACATGCTTCTGAATGAAATCGTTCGGAGCAACAGAAATGCTTCACAAAACTGCGTTAAATGGTTTGCAAGGTCTGCTTATATAGCTCAAATCTTTTCAGCATTATCACATGGATGAACATACAGAAAGAGTATGAATAGTTCACTCCTTCCCATCCTTTGGTTCCAACCTTCCTTCTTGCACCTTCTGTTGTACAAACCCTAC